AACCCACGCTCTCTGCCACACTCAATCATTACATCTTCCCATCACTACCAATCTATGACTATTAAAAGTAATTGATGAGGAACCCTCCTCCTCTGCAGGCCTGGTATACACCTAGGCCTCAGGCTTCATATTCGTTCCTCCAAAGATTGATACATTTGAGAGAGAGACATAACATAGACACACAGGCAGACACAAGCAGAGAAGAGAGACATAACATAGACACACAGGCAGACACAAGCAGAGAGAGAGACATAACATAGACACACAGGCAGACACAAGCAGAGAGAGAGACATAACATAGACACACAGGCAGACACAAGCAGAGAGAGAGACATAACATAGACACACAGGCAGACACAAGCAGAGAGAGAGACATAACATAGACACACAGGCAGACACAAGCAGAGAGAGAGACATAACATAGACACAGGCAGACACAAGCAGAGAGAGGACATAACATAGACACACAGGCAGACACAAGCAGAGAGAGACATAACATAGACACACAGGCAGACACAAGCAGAGAGAGAGACATAACATAGACACACAGGCAGACACAAGCAGAGAGAGAGGACATAACATAGACACACAGGCAGACACAAGCAGAGAGAGAGAGACATAACATAGACACACAGGCAGACACAAGCAGAGAGAGAGACATAACATAGACACACAGGCAGACACAAGCAGAGAGAGAGACATAACATAGACACACAGGCAGACACAAGCAGAGAGAGAGAGACATAACATAGACACACAGGCAGACACAAGCAGAGAGAGAGACATAACATAGACACACAGGCAGACACAAGCAGAGAGAGAGAGACATAACATAGACACACAGGCAGACACAAGCAGAGAGAGAGACATAACATAGACACACAGGCAGACACAAGCAGAGAGAGAGAGACATAACATAGACACACAGGCAGACACAAGCAGAGAGAGAGACATAACATAGACACACAGGCAGACACAAGCAGAGAGAGAGAGACATAACATAGACACACAGGCAGACACAAGCAGAGAGAGAGACATAACATAGACACACAGGCAGACACAAGCAGAGAGAGAGAGACATAACATAGACACACAGGCAGACACAAGCAGAGAGAGAGACATAACATAGACACACAGGCAGACACAGCAGAGAGAGAGACATAACATAGACACACAGGCAGACACAAGCAGAGAGAGACATAACATAACACACAGGCAGACACAAGCAGAGAGAGAGAGACATAACATAGACACACAGGCAGACACAAGCAGAGAGAGAGAGACATAACATAGACACACAGGCAGACACAAGCAGAGAGAGAGAGACATAACATAGACACACAGGCAGACACAAGCAGAGAGAGACATAACATAGACACACAGGCAGACACAAGCAGAGAGAGAGAGACATAACATAGACACACAGGCAGACACAAGCAGAGAGAGAGACATAACATAGACACACAGGCAGACACAAGCAGAGAGAGAGAGACATAACATAGACACACAGGCAGACACAAGCAGAGAGAGAGACATAACATAGACACACAGGCAGACACAAGCAGAGAGAGAGAGAGACATAACATAGACACACAGGCAGACACAAGCAGAGAGAGAGAGACATAACATAGACACACAGGCAGACACAAGCAGAGAGAGAGAGACATAACATAGACACACAGGCAGACACAAGCAGAGAGAGAGAGACATAACATAGACACACAGGCAGACAAGCAGAGAGAGAGACATAACATAGACACACAGGCAGACACAAGCAGAGAGAGACATAACATAGACACACAGGCAGACACAAGCAGAGAGAGATGTTTTGTCTCTCTCAAATTTAGCAATCTTTGGAGGGACGTAATCAACCAGGTGAGGTGTTGACTGTTGTGTTGGCCGACTCTCTGTGTTGTATTGCATTATATTTCCAAGTTTACTATGTTTTCTCATTGATGTGTACCTGATGATGTTTGTTTTGCAATCGAATCGTCGTATTCTATTATTATTTAATTTCTTTCTACGTGACTTTACCAAAAGAAGCAAAGAATAATTCCTGCAGTCACGAAAGTTTCGAATCTAGTTTGGAATTATTCACTTGTGTTCCATGTGTAATGTGAGGATATATCCGGGTCGCTGACGGATCACAACTCGTCACGATGATTGGCTCTGCTGGTCCTGGTCCATAGCCAATGGGGGGAAGCCTAGGGGTGTGGCCCTGACGTAATGGGAAGGTGACATCTGTAAGTAGAGGATTGGTTCTGCTGGCTTTAGCCACAGCCAATGGGGAGACGAGTCAGGGGCGTGGTCCCGGGAGCCTACGATGGAGTCTGGAAGATTACATAGAGGCTAACCAGGATTGGTGGAAAGGTACCACGTGACCCGGGTATTAAATAGGAGTGGAGACGAACAACATGTGGTCAGAACTGGAACGAACGGAGGGAGAGGCCACGCGAGAGTGGGGGTCCAGGCTGCCACGTGGCTGCGTGCGTTTCTCTCTCTATCCCTCTCACGCTGTCTATCAGCAGCGTGAAGGAGTGTTGTAAAGAAAGACAAATAAAGACCGGATTCCAGAAGTCGCTTTCACGACCTTTATTACACATGCATTAAATTTGAAGCGTATGAACAACATCTCATTGGTGTATTTACTTTAAAATTCAAGGTGTTATTATTAACCTAAGTAGTTATGTTTAGGTGACTGAGGTGGTAGTAGTCAAGTGTAATTTGAGTTACATGTCAATTATTGTGCAATGGATTTGTCTGTGTGCACCTAGCCTGGCACGTTTAATATGGGTTTATTTTCTTGTTGATCAGTCTTTAAAGAGGTATATTTTTGCGTCTTGTTATGTGTGTCTGTGTCAGCTTACGTTTCTATGTGTGTAGCTGTGTGTGTCTGTTAGTTTATATAGGGTGATAATAATGGTTGGTGATGACGATGATAATGGGTGATGTGATGGGTGGTGATGACGATGATAATGGGTGATGTGATGGGTGGTGATGACGATGATTATTAATGGATGGTGGTGATGATGGGTGGTGGTGATGTCGGGTAGTGATGATGCGTGATGGGTGGTGGTGATGATGGGTGGTGGTGATGATGGGTGGTGATGGGTGGTGGTTATTATAGGTGATGATTGGTGATGAGGGTGATGATGGTTGATAATGATGTTAATGGATGGTGATACTGATGTATGGTGATGATTATGGGTGTTGGTGATGTTGGGTGGTAGGTGGCGATGATAATGGGTGGTGTTGATGAGTGGTGATAATGATGGGTGGTGGTGATGTTGGGTGGTAGGTGGCGATGATAATGGGTGGTGTTGATGAGTGGTGATAATGATGGGTGGTGGTGATGTTGGGTGGTAGGTGGCGATGATAATGGGTGGTGTTGATGATGGGTGATGATAATGATGGGTGGTGGTGATGTTGGGTGGTAGGTGGCGATGATAATGGGTGGTGTTGATGATGGGTGGTGGTGATATTGGGTGGTGGTCGTGATGATGGGTGGTGATGATGATGGGTGCTCCTGATGATGATGGGTGGTGATGATGATGGGCGGTTATGATGATGTGTAGTGAGTTCAAGGAGACGTAGACGACGTAGTCGGAGGCACATTTATTTACACACCGGGGGAATAACACAGCTCTTGAAGGGGTAGCGGCCCCTTCACCCGTAGCACACCACTAAACATGGTAAAACTGTAATAGTTGTCTGTCAAATAAGATTGACAAATAAGTGTAGTTAAATCTTTTTTGCATGGTTAATCACATCTTTCCAATGATTACTCAGTTTGTAACCGTCATCACAGTTGAAATTATGACAATTTCATGAGAGCCCACCGAGTTGCTACAACTCGGTGGGCTCTCATTAAATTGTCTTTTCCGAGACCAAGGTTCTCTGCAAACCTCATGGCTACCATCAAAGGTTTGTACACGAAGCCATACAAATATACAAACACAGACATAATTTCAACCGTGATGACGGTTACAAACTGAGTAATCATTGGAAAGATGTGATTAACCATGCAAAAAAGATTTAACTACACTTATTTGCCAATCTTATTTGACAGACAAATATTACAGTTTTACCATGTTTAGTGGTGGTTTCCCTGTCACAGGTTGAGTCACAAACTGCACCTCTCCATAACAAAGGCTCAGCCTTTGTTATGCAGTCTATTTTTAGTCTTAAGCTTCACCTTACCATATTAATAAAAAGTATGCGGCCCTTGCCCCACCACCTTCTCCAACCATTATATAAACGGAGTGGTAGCTCTTGTAATCTCTCATTTACTTGATACAGCTGTCGTGGCTGTGACGGTACCACCTGAAGACGGAAGCTTGTGTTGCCTCCGAAACGTCGTGATTTTTATTTTATTTTACTTTTTAATGTTTTTTACCTACGTGACTTTACCGAAAAAACCTAAGAATACTGGGAGCTTCTTCAGGAACTGATATTTTTTTCAATACACACGAGGTACAGTCCGAAAACACTTGGAAGAGCTACACAGCACACATGCCAGAACACATGCGATGTCATACGTATTATTTTCAGTATTACGTGTGCCAGACTATGTTAACACCACGGTGGAGACAATTATGAAAAATTCACAGCGATAACCTGAACTGAATGTGAACATATTCTTAGGTTTTTTTCGGTAAAGTCACGTAGGTAAAACATCAAAATTAATAAAAATAAAATAAAGATCACGACGTTTCGGAGGCAACACAAGTCTCCGTCATCAGGTGGGACCGTCACAGCCAGATTAGCTGCATCAAGTGAGGCAATGATTCAAGATGTAATCCCTTAAAAGCGAGTTGAGGGGGGAGGAGAGGGGGGGGGGAGCTCATCAGAATGTGGTAGCCAATGAATGGAACGTATCGGGAGGGAGGGGGGGCTGGGCCAAAAGGGTGGGCCCAGCCCCCCCCTCCCTCCCGATACTTTCCATTCATTGGCTACCACATTCTGATGAGCTCCCCCCCCCCCTCTCCTCCCCCCTCAACTCGCTTTTAAGGGATTACATCTTGAATCATTGCCTCACTTGATGCAGCTAATCTGGCTGTGACGGTCCCACCTGATGACGGAGACTTGTGTTGCCTCCGAAACGTCGTGATCTTTATTTTATTTTTATTAATTTTGATGTTTTACCTACGTGACTTTACCGAAAAAACCTAAGAATATGAATCCTTGCAGTCACGAAAGCTTCAAGTCTAGAATGAATGTGAACACACATTATGTTAAGGTTTAGTGAGAGTTTGACAGAGTGCTTGAGAGTGTAACAATGCGTGAGAGTGAGTGTGTGACAGTGCGTGACAGTGAGAATGTGGCAGAGTGAATGAGAGAGTGAGTTAGTGATAGTGATGATGGGTGGATTTTGGTGGTGATCATGGTGATGATGAGAAGTGTTGATGATGGGTGGGTGGTGATGATGATGGGTGGTGATGATGATGGGTGGTTCAGGATTTTTCTTCACTTGTTCGTCCAGTTTATTAATGCTTATTCATGTGCATGTGGTAGGAAACCTGAGTGCCCAGAGAAACCCCATCTGTGAGAGGCGATGACACAAACACACCCTCTACAGATAGGTCAGCAACCTACTCCACACACTGAAACAAGATTCTCTCTGTTCGATCCACCTACCCTGCCACCATGCCCCCATTGTGCGCTTGCAGGCTCGCCAGCGGTATCAGTCTGCGGTGGAAGGGGGACTTTGCGTGGCGGTGCTGGACGTGTTTGAGGCATTCGTCAAGGCGAGCTCTCACTGCCGCTGTTCACAGCGTGTCCTCGCCATGGGCCTGTATCCACACTTGGTACACGACGTTTATATGTCCTACAAATAGTGATCGTTGTATGACATTTATAATAACAAAAAAATCCAGAAAAACGAATGTCAAAAATGTTATAAATTGATTTGCATTTTAATGAGGGAAATAAGTATTTGACCCCCTTTTATTTAGGTTCTTTCTCCGCACTCCGCTGGTCCCCTCCGTGGACCAGCGTCGTCTAGCGCGCGCCCCGCATGCGCTCCCTCGTCAGCTCCTCCACTCTTCCTCACACCCCGCTGGTCCTGACAAGGGACCAGCGTCTCCTCGCGCGCGCCCACGCACGCTCCTCCGTTAGCTCCTCCACTCCCGCACTCCGCTGGCCGACGGCGTGCTGAAGGTCCTTCGGCCACGTGGCCGATGGCGCGGATCTCCTCTCACCACCCAACGTGGCTCAGCCTCTTAACTTCCCCAACTGACCCCAATCTCTTCCGAGCTCCCACTTATATCCTCTCCCCCACGTGACCCTGACTCCTCCCCTTCCGGATCGTCAGATCCGGCCTTCCCGTACTGCCCTGCTGGCTCCGCCCCCATTCAACTCGCTTCCCATTGGAGCCGAGGTGAACGGCGGCCCCTCCCACACGCCCCCCAGACCGGGCTGTGTGATTGGGCCAGAGCCCAGCAGGAACCCCATTTACACTCGCATTACACTTATTTAAGTCTGAGAGGTAACTTAAATAATTGTATTGTTAAATCTGAAAACCGTAATTGACCAAGAATTGTGGGTGGAATATAATTTTCAACTGGCTTTTGAAAAGGTAATGAATATTGCACAGCAGTAGTGACCTTTTATCCAGTTTACTGATGAGAACATTTTAAACATCCATAGCTGTGGTGGTGCTGTAATCCTCTTGAAAACCAGACTCTGCTGTGCATGAGATTGTGAGCTTTTCGGCAGCAGTTTATTTGGGATGTATGTTTTTCGAATATTTTAGTAACTTGATTTGAAGCTTTCGTGACTGCAGGAATCCATACTCTGGTTCTTTCGGTAAAGTCACGTAGATAGAAAAAAGAAAAATATATATCACGACGTGTCGATCGCAACACAAGCAGTCGTCCTCAGAACAACACAAGCGGTCGTGTGCCTCGGAACTGCTGAACCTGGTTCAGCCTAGTTCAGCAGTTCCACTGCTGGATAATTTTTTTCCGCCTGAGGACGACCGCTTGTGTTGCGATCGAAACGTCGTGATATATATATATTTTTTATTTTTTATACCTACGTGACTTTACCGAAAGAACCAAAGAGTATTTTAGTAACTGTTAAAAAAGAAATATTGGTCTATAATTATTAGGATCTTCTTTGAAGCCATTTTTATACCGTGGACAAATTAAAGTAGATTTCTACAATAGTGGAAATGTAATGGGGAAGGTGAGGCACTACTGCGACCAGGATTGGTTTCAACATGCAAACTAATCAACAATATAAACATGTATTGTTTTTTAATGTATTTTATACTAGAGTGCTGTGCTAAATGGCGTTACTAGCATGTAGATATTTTTGCATGTTTGTGATTAATGTTTAAGCTACGAGTAACAGGTGGATACCTATGAAACAAATATCATGAATTGTGGAAGACTGCAGAAACAGAATTAACATAAGATTGGAGATGCCATTGTTTGAGAAAGTATGGGGGTTTGTGTCTGATGGATGAGGTAACAGTGTCGGTGAGTTTGCTGGGTTGGGTGACAATGGGGTAAAGAGACAGCAGAGTTACTGGGTGGGAGACCAGAAGCAGTCTGCTCTACCGGTCCTAAACAGTTGCAGCACAAACAGCAGCCAGGGGAGGACCACTCTCGAGTGGGAGCTGATCCCAGGGCCTTGACCGCGATCCGACAGCTGAGCTCTGGCGGGTTGAAGATGCGCATGAGGTCCCCGAGCTGGTGGAGCGGCACGCCGCCCATGCAGCTGCTGCTGGAGAAGGGGACGCGCACCTTGGCCGCCAGCTGCTCGGCCTCGCCACGCGTGCGGCCCAACAGCGCCTCCACGCTGAAGCCATTGGTGAGCAGCAGCGGCACGAGCACCCCCCAGGCGTGAGCCCCATGTTGAACACCCCCACGCTGGCCTGCGTGGCTCCCTCGCTCGCTCGGTCCCAGCTCCTCTTCCTGGTCTCGAGCTTGAGTCTCTTCTAGGGGGCGGGCAGCGATACGGAGGAAGAGTGGCAGACAGCCGAAGAGGGGGAGACAGCTGAAGAGTGACAAATGATGGAGAAGTGGGAGGATGGGAACATGGAGAAGGAGGAATGGGAGGGGATGGAGGATACTTGAGGTGGTGGTGGAGGAGACGGTGGATAATCAGAGATGGAGGAGCTGGAGGTGGTAGAGGAGCTTGAGATGGTATAGGAGGAGCTGGAGGTGGTGAAGGAGACAGATGGCGATGGTGGAGCAGGAGACGGAGGAGCTGGAGGTGGGGGAACTCACGAATCACTCACCCCTCACTCGCCCATTATCCAACCATCAACTGCCCTCACTCACCAACCAATCAATCAACCATCACCCACTCCTCACTCACCCATCACTCACCACTCACTTAATCATTTATCAATCTCTCGCCACTCGCCCACCACTCAACCATCAGCCACCCCTCAACTATCATCCAACGGTCACTCACCCCTCACCAATCACGAAAACATAACTCACCCCTTACCCCTCATTCACGACTCGTGTAACCATCACGCACTCGCCAATCACTCAAGCATCACCCATCCCTCACTCACCCCTCACTCACCACTCACCCATCACTCACCCATCACTCACCTGCCCCCTTTGTCTCTGTGTATGGAGCAGCCCCACCCAAAGCAGCTGTTGGGAGAGTTGAGCAGGGAGGTGACCCGGACTGCGACCATCAACCGTCCAGTGCGCGCATGCCCCTCGTCAGCAATTCGCCCGAAGGTGATCTCGCCAATAACATTTACAATTTTTATTATTATCAACACGAATAATTTAGCACATTTGGCATTCACACCCTTCTTGTTCCATTCCGGGGATCTTCATCTTTGTCCCAATTGAGTGATTTCTGGTGTAACCTTTTATATTTGGGCCAAACCTGGACCGTGACGAGTGACGTCGTGGGATCTTTAACGTTTACTGCCAAGTGAGCGACGCAGGCTATTTTGCGAGCGTGTGCGGAGTATTATCGGCCAAACGTCAAGTTGCTACAAAGGTCACCTGGCAAGTGAAAAAAAATATTCCCTTTTCTAAAGTCGACAGACCTTCACTTCATTGGACACCTTTTAAATGATCCGTCATCTTCTGCTTCCCGAAATTTAGATTTTCGTAACCTCTGAGCGTGAACGACTTCTGCCCCTCTTCATCTAGGGCAGGGATCGGTAACCTGCATCTCCGGAGCCGCGTGTGGCTCTTTAAGGACTGCTTCGTAACGTTATTTATTCAGGACCACCATCTCCTATTCACCACACAGTGCATTACGGCTCTCGAAAGATTGAGTTTCTTTAACCGAATACATTTTTTTATCTTGTTATTTTCGTTACCGTCCTCTGGTCTAGGGCAATATCTTGGTCAAGGACCCCATGGCTGGGACCGTGCGGGTAACAGACTTTGGTTGCAGCTTCCATGAGACTTCTCAAAGTAAGTGACCTCAACGGCATGCATGAGTATATGTATGCACTATGAACCTGGCGACCCGAATTCAATTCTTGCTCATGAGCAACACCATTCGCAGCCGTTCCCTGTTCATCTTGGGGTGCGACAGCATCTGGCTCCTGCATTGTTTACATCATGTTCGACCATGTAATTCGAGAAGCCTTCTATGGCTGTACCTGTGGAATTTTAATCTGGTACAGATACAATGGGAGGCTGATCCTCCTGGTCAACCATGTTATGCACAGTGATGATCTGGTGGTTGCTGCCCACTGATGAGTTGAAGGTTCTGCTGCTAAACCTGCAGCGTGCCACTAAGAGATAGGCCTTACTATCAGCCTCACCAAATTAAGCACCTGCTCATGTATTTTGTATAATCCAATACTCCACTGAGTCAACTCCCCACCGTGATGGTGCAGTTGTGGAGAGAGTAGAGAAGTGTCCATACCTGGGCTGTGTGCTCATGACCAACTCCAGATTGGCAGCAGAGCTCTCACTCCGAATCAGTCGAGCGGCATTATATTTTGATCAGCTGCTTAATGCTGTGTGGAAGCTACCTGGTCTGTCACTCGACACAAAGATCACGGTATTTTCGGAAACAGTCTTGCCCTTCCTTTTCTTTGCTTGCGGAATGTGGACCCCTCTCATAGAATATCTGCACCGGTTAAAAATTTTCAGGTTGGCCTGCCTATGATCCATTTTGTCAATCTAGATTTGACGTTTTCATGACTGCAGGGATCCATACTCTTTGGTTCTTTCGGTAAAGTCGCGTAGGTATAAAATAAAATTAATTAAATCACGACGTTTCGGTTGTAACACAAGCGCCCGTCATCAGGTGGGACAACCACAGCAAGAAACAATTGCTGAAGTGGGCCCCTTCAACCCGATAGCCTAAGGGAGGTACACACTCCCTTCTAGCACGTCCTACACACTCCAGGCTACTCTACACACCGGTCCCTTGCCACGGCGGCTAAGGGAAGACTGGACCGACCCGTCCCAGGCAGGGTACGGGGCTCACCCCTGGTCCGCTACACCACGGCTCTGACCAGAGCCTCGGGGAGGGTCCCAGGGTGTCCGAGCTACCTCGGGTCCGCCACAACCCGGCTCTAACGAGAGCCTCGGTTGAGGGTTCCCGGGTGCTGGTCCAGTCTTCAGGTCTTCAGATGTCTTCAAGCTTGAGTTGGCGAACACTGCTGGACCCGTTCAGAGGGTCGGCTTTTTATCCCCAGGTTGGGCTTACCCCTCCCCTCCTGACCCCCCCTCCAGAACCTTCTGGAAGGTCTTAGAGGGTCTTAAATCTTAAGGGGTCTTAGGAAGGGGTGAGGGGAGCCCATCCCCCTCAGCCCCTAGCCCCTGGGGGGTCTGGGGTGTCAACCTCCGGTCACGGGCCTCCCACCTCGCTCTGTCTCGGCTGCCCCCTGTCGGCCCGTGAGCGTGGTGGCAGGTAAGCTCCTTACAGCGCCTTGTTATGGCGCAACACCTACGTGACTTTACCGAAAGAACCAAATATCCATTTTGTGTTTAACCAGGCTGAATTGTGTGAGGAGAACATAAATCCTTCAAAGATCTGAACACATTCCCATCAATCTTAATTTGGAGCTTTCGTGACTGCAGGAATTACTCTTTGGTTCTTTCGGTAAAGTCACGTATAAAGATAAAATAATAAATTAAATAATAGCATACGACGTTTCGATTGCAACACAAGCAATCATCATCAGGTATAAATGAAATAGCAACAAAAATCTAACCAGAAAACTATAGACAGACATATAAGCAGACAGATATCACCAAGATACATAGAGAGAGAGTAACACAGGCACAGAGAGGGAGATCGTCTCTGTGGCGAGGCCTTTAATAGACAGGGGGGCGGGGGCGGAGAGAGGGAGGGGTTAGAGAAAAAATTAACATGTCAATGAGTACGGCGACGCGTGGTAAAGTACGCAAGCTTGAACATTAGGAGAGAGGGAGAAAGAACACACTAAATTAAATAACCTAGCAAAATATCGAAATGTTATGTAATACAACACAGAGAGTCGGTCAACACACAATTAACGCATAGCCTGGTCGATCACGTATTTCAAAGATTGCTAAGTTAGAATTTAACTGTGAAAATTCCGTACTCATTGACATGTACATTTTTTCTCTAACCCCTCCCTTTCTCCGCCCCCGCCCCCCTCTGTCTATTTAAGGCCTCGTCACAGAGACGATCTCCCTCTCTGTGACTGTGTTACTCTCTCTCTATGTATCTTGGTGATATCTGTCTGCTTATATGTCTGTGTATAGTTTTCTGGTTAGATGTTTGTTGCTATTTCATTTATACCTGATGATGATTGCTTGTGTTGCAATCGAAACGTCGTATGCTATTATTTAATTTATTATTTTATCTTTATACGTGACTTTACCGAAAGAACCAAAGAGTACATTCCCATCAGTGAACTCCTCCGATGGGCGATGCTGCATTGGTTGTGTCATGTCACCCCGCATGCCCAGCCAGTTTCTGTTTCGCTGGATAGAGGGGACTAAACAGACGCGGTACGGCCTTGAGAAGAGATGGACTGTTGCAATATGGGAAGGATGCGGAGCTAAGTGGACTTGCTCAAGACTCGCAAATGTCATGAAGAACGCTATTGGGCAGTTGGAGGCAGTTACCCTCCAACAACAGAGGGCAGAAGAGCGACGCTCATGACAATGAGCAGAGTGTCGAATCGCTAAAATGCAGCAAGTTGGAAGAGTGGGGGACACAGGTGCCCCCTCAGTAGTCAGCCAACCCAACACCACGGTGGCGAGATTTTAACTACCTCCCCTGGTATACAGGGGGCTGTGGGTACGATCCTGATCCTGACGCCTGTATATTTGGAGTTTGCATGCCTTTCTCCCCGTGGTCACATGGATTTTTCTCTGGGTCCTCAAGTATTTCCCTCTAAATTTAGAAACATGCTTTTAGAGTATTTGGCTGCGATACATTTGCACGTGATAAGCAGCTTCACTGAGCTATCATTTGTAGCCAGATCGCTTCTGAAAAATAGCTAAATAGCTCAGTGGGCCTTACCTGGTTAAATAAAAAACATGTATTCTGTCCTGTGACCTGTCAGCGAGCCTTTGGCACTTTACGTGTCCTCGGAGTGCACCTAGCCTGGCACAAACACCCTGGTGATGTCACCGCCGGTGACGAATGGGGCTGTTGTTGCTGTGTGTGCCTATGCAAGCATGTGTGTGGGGAGTGGTAGTGTAGCAGTTATTGCGCTGTGCTATGAAACCATCAGTTCGATTCCCGCTCACGTTCAACACCAGTGACGATTATCGGAACCGGTGATGGGCCTCCGCGAGCTCCACTCAGCCTTAAATGAATACCTGATGTGATGCATTAACATTGCCATGAGAGAGACAAAGGTGGCCGGGTACGGTGTTGGCCACCCACCACTTTATGCGCCTTTCTGGCCTTTATAGGTACTTGCAAACAGCATTTACCCCAACAGTCTGTTAAAGGCTATATGGGGGATATTTTTCTTTTGTATACTTGTCACTGTGTGTGTCTGATGACACTGTGTGTGTCTGATGACGCTGTGGGTGGTGATACTGTGTGATGTTATTAAAGGCAATACGTGAACATGTGGGCACTCGGCTGTGTGGTGGTAGAGATAGCCTTGGGAAAGCTCCTCTTCAACGACCTGTTCCCGTGCTATGTAGAGGTATGAGACACTGCAGTTCACTTGTGGTTCGCCACCGATTTTTGGGTCAGACTCACGTAATGATCTGGCGCATAGCGGTCATTTTACATTGTGTGTAATATGTGTACGATACGTATTCGCAACAGACACGTTGTGAGCAATTGTAAGGCTGGGCCCACGCCAGAGCAATCAGTCGAGCAACCGTGATGCTCTCAAAGTTGCGCAACTCGCCCCTGACCGCTTTGTCCACATCTGAGCGAGTAGTTGTCCAATAAGGATATCAAATGGCGCTTTCAGGATCATCGGAACCAATTACAGTTCTGAATATGATCACGTCACGAGCTACTTCACTCCCAATCACTGAGCGTATCGCTTGGGAGTGTAATGCCGCCGCCGTGAAGCCGCTCGGCGGGCGCCCCATCTACGATCTCGCCACCACCAAGCGACGGGGCCGACCCCACTTCCCCCTCACCACCCCCCACATAAACACACCCTCACACATTTCACTCCCATAGAGCTCCGAGGTGTTGGATC